AAAAGTGCAGACGACTTTTAAAAAACAGGCTCGATAATATCTTCCTTTTGAATGCATATTAAAGTCTCTGCACACGGCCGAGGTTCTTCAGGGTTATGTTCTCCTCGCTGCTGTTGGTTCGCTATGTTTATATGTTTAAATCCGCAGTAGAGCAATTTCCAAAACATTTATTTTTTAGCTCTGCGCACCTATAATTAACAGGTTATCGCACCCACTTAAACGGGAAAATAAAGACCCTTACGCTCAAAACTGAAGCTTTGGGTGACCATAAATTACAAAGAACACCCCATTCTGCCTCCATCTGAGTTAGTCTAATTTAGCAGGACAAACAATTTCGTTCTTATATCAGCAAAGAGCACAATTGCGGCCTCAGCAAAGCAGACAGGTAAGACACTAAACGTAACGGATGGTCGGCCACATCAAGCCCGGTCCCCAAGGCATTAAAACTGCGTAATTTAGGATGTGGCTTTATAGTTTCCTCAGAAATTAATCTGTAATTTGGAGTTAGTCAACATATCCCAGGGTCCATAGGTGCCGACCGAAATTTGATATGATTATACGAAGTCCATCAGCCACTGCGAGACGACAAGGAAATATGCACAGATTGCCAACAGACAGCCAGGAGCATAATTTAGGTAATTATTTACCCCTCTAGTAGAACAGGTGCTAGCTAAAAGCTCAGACACGTATTTCGCCGATATTCTGCCATTGTAGGGCCCAGCTGTGAGGGGTTCGGATCATCAGTGGGTACCCCAGCTTTTTTGTGTACTTTCTGGTAGATACTTCAAGTTCGAAAGTAATTTTTAAGGAAAGTAAGCAGCTACAATTTCAAAAATGAAGTATCTCCTGGAACACATATAGGGAATGTTTGGGAACCCACCGATGAGCCGAGCACCTGTCACTTGTGCCAAGCAGCTGCATTATATCGGCGAAACACGTGTCGGGGCACTTAGCTAATACCTGTGCTGCCAGTATTGTAAATACTTGCTCAGATTAATCTGGGATGGTACTGTATCCGTTTCCTTGCTGCTTTGCCTTAAGCCAACTTGCTTCACCTCGCAGTTCATCGGCTTCGGACAGTAAAGATTTCGATAACAGTGCTCTTCGCTAAGTATTAATGATTAGGGATTATTCGAATTTTGATATTTGCTCGTGAAGTTTGTGGACCGCCGACGGACGAATGCCAGACTTTTATCAGCACTGAAGAAAAACATTTGCGGTTTTTATAAATTCTTCATATAGGTCAGCCTTTGCATCACCAGATCAGGTTTGTCGTTTGAACATGAGTCTGCATCCATAAAGGCGTACAAGACACCTGTCTCTTTACGTCTGTGCTTTTTGTTATATTTATCACGGAATAAGGGTGTCAAATGACTTCAATCTTAGTGTGACTTCTATGCAAGCCAGCCTGTGACATTAAGCCTACCCACAGCACATCGATGTTGGACAAAGCCGAGCTTACCGTTCTGCCCTGATGCTCTGGCTTCAAGCTCTCTCAGGCGAGCGCGTGAGAAAAGGCGACAAATCCCCTATAAGTATTGCAGGCTTGTTACGGGTCACGTGGAAGACTACCTTTGATATACTGCCGTCTTCCTCCAGGCATACCTTTATCCAAAGCCGGGTGAGCCTAACGTTCGAACCAGGTTGGACTGGTAGGTGAGCAAGCCCAAGCTGTAATTGGGATTATCCAGAGTTACATGAGAGTAGTGTTCATATAGCTCTTTTCTCTGCAGGACTGCCGTTTGCGACTGATTCGTGGTTGATTGAAGCGATAAACAGGTCAATAATGGCTATTCTAATCTGCGACGTTGTTATAGTTTTCCACAGTTTTCCAAGTCCAAGGCATTTTGTATAGAAATCGTATGCACGGGATAATTGACATGCATATTTTACCTACGTCAGCTTCCATGATCGGTGGAACTATCTTCGTTCTGACGGGTACGGTCGCTCGAACAAAGGCGGGACCAGCTGTCTTCCTCGCCTATACCATCGCTGGTATTGTGGCCTTATTCAACGCGTTAAACTACTCCGAGTTGGCTTGCCGATTCCCAAAGGTGAGGTTATTGCCAGTTATGTATTGTCAGCTGGCCTGATACAAATTTATTATCTTCTGCTGTTTTGTATTTTCTACACATTTTGGCTATAATAACTTTTCATTCAAACGTATTTCCCTGATCTCAAATTATATCAGTATTGCCAGACTGATCATGAACGCTTACGTATGGGCCGAATTGTAATAAAAACGTACTGGTCGGAGAAAAACGAATGCGAAAAATATTTTTTCAGAATAATAATCACAACTGTTCCCATCCATATGAATCATCGCATAATTTTGAAGAGATCTGTGAATGTTCAGGCGATTTCAGATCTTGAGGTGGTAGCGCGAATTCACAAGATTAGACCTTCGTACTTTGAGTACATACGGCGTCCGAAGAATATTAGGGAGTAGCAGTGGTCACATGATCCTTATCATTGTCTACAGCTTACCTCCAGAGGCAGTCGCCTACATCAGTGGTTGTTCGTTTTTAATTGATGGGGTTCATTCTGCGAACCAGCCCGCTAAATAGCGAATCCTACGTTAGTGGTTCGGGTTGATGTTCAGCTGTGACCATTGTTCCAGTACGACTGCCAGAAATGACCATCGACATCTAAAAAATACGAAAAAGGTCGAGGTATTTTTCTTCAACTAGTGGCTAAAGCCAATGCCCTTCTTGTCCCCAAACAGTTCGACCATCACTGGCGACGATGTCCATTGTGTGCTCCATAGCATGGTGACTCGCGGACGGTGACTTGTGCGTGACTAGGTTTGAGGTGCTAGTGGACCTACAACTCCTCTAGCACACTCTCTTCTCTTCCGTCTGGGATTGATGTAAGAACACCGTGAAGAGGATCAGTGA